AAGGAAATCTGAGTGAGTTTTTGTGTCCTCTTAATTTCTTTTGACTTATTTTTTGCCAATTTTTTTGTACATTATTGTTGCTCAATGTATATTTTTACACATTTAAAAAACAAATGCAATATTTTTACTTATTATATCAAATACTCCCTCTGTCCCATTAGAAGGTTCCCACTTTCCTTTTTTGAACGTCCCATATAAAGGTTGAGATATTTATCCCTCTTATAGCTAAAAGAAGATATGTTTCTCAATATATGAGTCCATGAGTTTATTTCCTATTATCATATCTAAAATTAATCAATTAATCCTAAAAATATGGAAGTGATGTGCACGATTAGTGAGGAAGTTATGCAAGAGAATGTATTTCTAGTCATATAATGGTCAAGAAACATGTTTAGTCATATTATGGGAATTGACATGAGTTTTAGTAATATATAGGTAAATTTCTCTATAAAGGTTCCCATTTCCATTTTAGGAAACAATTAACAATCTTAAATGACAAATTAATCATTAAATATTAAAAATAATACATTTATAACATCACAGTTATCAATACTAACTACATTATAATATATACCTATTAAAATTATTTTCGGAAACAGTCTCTCTGTGCTTTATTACAGGGGTAAGACCGTGTACATCCGACCCCCCTTACCCTACCATAGGTGGGAGCCTTTGCGGCACTGGGGTAATGATAATGATGATGACGACCTATTAAAATTATTTCTCAAAATATACTCGAAGTACTTTATTTAATTATTGCCTAAATAACCGTGCCGTTTTGCTATGGGAACTTTCCAACGGGACGGAGGTAGTACAATATTTTTAGATTTTTAAAAAATAGTAATTCCTAACTCCTTTAGTGAATCAAACATGATACTCCCTATTATTTAACTACCTGCATTTTACTCATGTTCCCTACTTTGAACCAGAAAAGTGCTTAATGTTGCATATGGACATTATCTTAAATAATCCTGCTCATTGTAGGGTTAGTATTATATGTAAATGTGATGATTTCTGTATGACATGTGCTGTTACAATAGAAATGTGATAAAAGTTTGTACCATCATTAGCATATTAATATACACTGGCTATTGTTTGTGTGTCTTTTTCAATCAGATCAGTGAGAGCAGTTCGGGCGGCATTGGGGTGCATCAGAAAAGCCATAAATGATCTAAAACTAAGTCAAAAGCCCAGAGTTGTTGTAGTTTCAGACACGCCCTCTTTTGTGAAAACCATCACTCCATACTTAGATGAGTTTGCCGAGGTATTTAACTTTCCCATGTTCCATAAAAACAATGCATGTGCCTGTTTTCTGAACTGAAGGATCAGTACTCCGGTTTTTCGCCAGGTTTTGCACTTTGATTACAAACATTTTATTGAAGGAAACTTATCCCGATACACAGGCGGCAAATCCTACAATACTATCAACCCTAGAGAAAAGGACTGGGGCCCAGCACCGAGATGGGTTGCATTTGTTGATTTTTTTCTTGCTTCAAGAGCAAGACATGCTGTTGTTTCTGGGGCACACCGGCGTGTGGGGACTACATATGCTCAATTGATTGCAGCATTGGCTGCAGCTCACCATCTTGGTAATTTCTGTTATTAAAACCAGTTACAGTGCATTTGGCTCAAGTGAAGGGGCTGGGGAGGGATTTTAATGTTACCTTGTTTATTTTAAGAGGGTGGTGGACTGGTGGTCGTATAAAACACTATCTTTCCGTCATCTTAATTCTTAATAAAAACTGGTCAGCTTATCACCACAAATAGTTATAAAATTACAGCATGTTCACTTGCAGACATTATTCGGCATACTTTTCAACATTTGGCATATTGTTATTAACTAATGAATCAATATACATTTCAAGTAAAATCAAACTTTAGATGTATAGTGATTGTTCATGTAATAACAATATGACATATGTTTAAAATTTGTACCAAATAATATGTTTATAACTTAACTGTTCCGTATTGTGTAAGTTATTGAGACTTGTCTTCGAAGTTTTGTAAATAGTACCTCAAATATTAAATAAATGGAATAGAATAGCAGGAGTAAGAGATGAACATAATATTATTTCTGTGTATGTGTTCGTAGAATACAGCCGATCACCCCAATATATATGCCCAGGCATGGGCAACGTATGGAAGAAAGATAAAAAAGGTATGCCAACTTAGAAGGAAAGTAAATAATACATTGGATGACTAGCACAAATAAACACGCTACGTATTAATATAATAGCTCCTTTCCATGTATGGCGTAGTGGAAAATATTGACATTATTTGGTTACGCATCACTCCCCCTCAAGCTGGAGTGTAGAGATCCCGAACACCCAGCTTGCCACGGAGCAATTGGAATTGGTCGCGACCAAGGGCTTTAGTAAATATATCTGCTACTTGATGTTGAGAGGAAATAGGTTTGGGCTGGATTTCGTGACTTGTAACACGCTCACGAACAAAATAGCAATCCATTTCAACATGTTTGGTTCGCTCATGATAGACCGGATTAGTTGCAATGTGTCGGGCTGCCTGATTATCACAAAATAAGGACGTGGGAGCAGATAGAAAGACCTCAAAGTCACGAAGCAACCACCTTAGCCAAAGAATCTCACTGACAGCGACAGCCATGGCTCGATATTCAGCTTCCGCGGAGGAACGAGACACGACCGTTTGCTTTTTAGTGCGCCAAGAAATGGGAGAACCACCCAGCTGTATAAAATATCCTGAGCATGAACGTCGAGTGAATGAACAACCTGCCCAATCGGCATCACAATATCCTTCCAAGGAGAAGTCGGCTGTGGAAGAGAGGAATAAGCCCAGTCCAGGTGTGGTCTTTAAGTACCGAAGGACGCGGTAGGCAGCGTCTAAATGCGTTTGGCGCGGATTGGATAAAAATTGACTTAACTGATTGACAACAAATAGAATATCCGGACGAGTGACGGTGAGGTATAAAAGGCGACCGATCAAGCGACGATATACAGCTGCATCAATGGGAGGGCTTGAATCATCCGGTCGTAGCCGAAGGTTCTGCTCCATGGGGAAGGGGCTTGGCCGACATCCCAACATACCACTCTCTTTTAAAATGTCCATGACATATTTGTGTTGGCTAAGAACGAAACCAGCAGGAGACCGAGCCACCTCAATGCCTAAGAAATACTTGAGTGGGCCAAGATCTTTAATAGTGAACGCATTGTCCAGATAGCGCTTAACTGTTGTGATGTGCGGGATACTATTTCCCGCCAGAAGGACATCATCCACGTAGATGAGTGCGGCAGTGTAGGTAGCGCCCTGACGATATATAAAAAGTGAGTGATCAGCCCTGGACTGCCTAAAACCAATGAGGATAAGAGCATTTGTAAACTTTTGATACCAATTGCGTGATGCCTGTCGAAGCCCATATAAGGACTTTTGGAGTTTACATACACGAGTTTCTCCGCGCTTAGCAAAACCCTGCGGAATGCGCATGTAAACGTCTTCTTGTAAGTCCCCATGGAGGAAGGCATTGTTGACGTCTAATTGATGAACAATCCAGTTCCGTTTGGCAGCCACAACCAATAGACACCGAACGGTGACCAATTTTGCCACCGGAGCAAATGTCTCATGAAAATCGATGCCTTCAACCTGTGTGAAGCCTTTGGCTACGAGACGTGCTTTATATCTTTCAATCTCGCCATTAGGCTTGTACTTGATTTTGTAGACCCATTTGGAGGCAACAAGCTTCTTGCCAGGAGGTAAAGGAACGAGGGTCCATGTGCCATTAGCTTCAAGAGCCTGGATTTCTTTCTGCATAGCCTCCCGCCACAAGGGATTCTGAATGGCTTGAGAAAAATGTTTTGGCTCATCATGTGAGGTGATGGCCGCTAAAAAAACACGGTGAGGCAAAGAAAATTTATCATAGGAAAGAAATTGTGTAAGAGGATGTACCGTCGAAGTTGCCGAATTGGAAGTGGGTGTCGAGTGGGTGAGCGAAGGTGGCAAATCAGTATCAAAATTCTCCAAATGTTTAGGTTGCCGTCGGATACGGTCACTTTTCCGTGGAGCTTGGTTGTCTTGGTTGTCCAGTGGTTCAGAAACTTCTTCTGGAGCAAAATTGGACGTGGAATTAAAATCCACGTTGATGGGAGCATGGCCTGGTGTGGACATTTGAGTGGGGCTGGAGGGTGCATGGCGTATAGCCGGCCTAGGTGAGAGGAGCTCAGTGATGGGTGTTGGATTCTCCTGGATGTATGCAAGTGCCATACGCACTTTTGAATCAAATGAATGGTCATCAATATGGGACACAGATTTGAAGGGAAAAATGTGTTCAAAAAATGTTACATCCCTGGAGGAGTAAATCTGCTGAGTCCGGAGATCAAAAACTCGATAGCCCTTTTGATTGTGAGGATATCCCACGAAAATGCAAGGACTCCCCCTTTCTCCGAATTTGTCTTTCCTTTTGTTGTCATGAGCATAAACAAGACATCCAAAAACACGGAGATGAGTATAGTCAGGCGGTTTTTGGAGTAGCATTTGATAAGGACTTTTATTAAAAATGACCGGTGATGGAAGCCGATTTATGATATATACGGCAGTGAGAATGCACTCCCCCCAAAATTCAATCGGCAAGCCGGACTGAAATCTTAAAGCTCTAGCCACTTCCAGTATGTGCCTGTGTTTACGTTCCACGACTCCATTTTGTTGGGGAGTATCCGTGCAAGATGTTTCTAAAATAATTCCATTAGTGCTATAATAATCCAACATCACATGAGACTGAAATTCTACTCCGTTATCAGTGCGTATACGTTTGACTGAAAAACCAAACTGAGTCCGAATCATATTGCAAAAATGCATTAAGAAATGTGCCACATCAGACTTGGCCTTCAAAAGGTAAACCCAGACACTTCGGGTAAAATCATCAACAATGGACAAAAAATAATGAGCACCAGTAAATGAAGCACATTTATATCCACCCCAAATATCACAATGGATTAAATCAAAGCACTGTTGAGTTTTAATGAAACTATTGGGAAAAGGAAGACGAATTTGTTTAGCCCGAACACAAGAATCACAAAAAGGAGTGTCTCTCTTGAAACCTTTCAAATCGGTAATATGACTAATTTTGTCGTCAGAAGCATGTCCTAGGCGACGATGCCAGACTTCGTTGTGTGAGGACACCATCATTGCCACCCGCTCACTGTTGAGAGTCTCCAAATAGTAAAGCCCATCACGGCACCTACCCACTCCAATCAGCTTCTTCGAGGGTGAGTCCTGTAATACACAAAAATCCCGAAAGAAAGTCAATGTACAATTGTGCTCTTGGATAAGGCGATGCACAGATAATAAATTGCAGTGGAATTGTGGAACAAAAAGAACACGAGATAATGATAAACCACTGGGCAGCCGCACACTTCCAACTGCGTGTACAGGTATAGTATCACCATTTGGAATCCGGATTGGAGATTCAGAGGGATTTGCCATAATATTTGTTAAGTGTCGCTCATCACACGTAATGTGTTCAGAAGCCCCTGAATCAATAATCCACGGACCTTGGATTTCACTCGTACCTGCCATGTTAATTTGTGCATCTTTAGAATTTTGAGGTGTGGGTCCCTTTTCATCAAACTCAGTGCGCATAAAAAAAGCCAGACGCTGGAGCTGTTCGGAGGTCAGCCCTGACACGTGTGCAGCAGTTTGGTCAACATGGGCAATTTTAGATGGTCCGCCTTTTCTCTCTCGTTCTGTGTCTCGCACATGTCTCTGAGTTCTGGAATTCCCTCCATGTGGCTTGTTGTCTTTTCCCTTTGTGTCCACAGTAGCATGGTCACGTAGATTCCAATTTGCAGGATACCCGATGACTTCAAAACATGTGTCAATCGTGTGGTTAGTCCTGCCGCAATGAGTGCACATACGCCCAGTTTTATTTCCAGGTCCTCGACTGGTGGAAGGCGCCGGCCTGGTATGTGCTTGGAAGGCAGTATTCTCGCCGCTCAATTTTCTGGTGGCTGTGATATTCCGGTGTTGCTCGCCTTCAGAAACAATATGATATGCTGCCGTCAAGCTAATCACCGGACGTGTGGCTAGAATCTGGGATTTTAGATGACTATAATAATCATCAAGACCCATTAGGAAGTCGTAAAGATGGTCCCGATCACGGGCTTCATTGATTTGCTTAGTGATATTACACGAACACTTGCCGCACGAACAGCTTGGCGTTTTGGAGATAGACCCTATTTCATCCCATATTCGTCGGAGTCTACTAAAATATGCAGACACCGATTGCCCATCCTGCCGAACGGCACCAAGCGCACACCGCAATTCATACGCCCGAGGAGCACTCTCTTTGCCGAATCTTTCATCAAGATCCAGCCATATTTCTCGAGCAGTTTTGAATTTGACACTTTGTCTCAATTCAAGTTCCATGCTACTGTTTAGCCATGCCTTAACCATTGCATTAGCTCGTTGCCAATATGGCAAATAAGGGGATTTTTCTTCCGGCATAGGTATATCGCCGTTGACGAATCCAATTTTATTTTTGGCATATAGGGCATTGGTCATTTCATCGAGCCAATCCCCATAATTGCCATCACGCAAAAGTGAAGTAACAAAAACATCACCGGGTTTATCACCCGATTGAATATAGTATGGTGACATGCAATCAATGGTTAGTGCTCCGCCATTGCCGCCGTCGTCACCACCGATGGCCATCTCGTTCTAGTATGGCAGATTGTCGACTAGTCTAAAAATAGCCAGGATTTCGGCTCTGATACCATATTAAATAAATGGAATAGAATAGCAGGAGTAAGAGATGAACATAATATTATTTCTGTGTATGTGTTCGTAGAATACAGCCGATCACCCCAATATATATGCCCAGGCATGGGCAACGTATGGAAGAAAGATAAAAAAGGTATGCCAACTTAGAAGGAAAGTAAATAATACATTGGATGACTAGCACAAATAAACACGCTACGTATTAATATAATAGCTCCTTTCCATGTATGGCGTAGTGGAAAATATTGACATTATTTGGTTACGCATCATCAAATGCTACAGATGAGATGATAAAGTCAGTTTCTCCGATTAAAAACACACTTATCATCGTTTCGTAGTATTAGGGTAATAGGGTTTTTTAGTGGCATTTTTTATTTCTAAATCCACTCATCTCCCAAATTTGCAATTCATTCAACCTTAAATTGCGAACACCCATCCTATGGAATATGAAATATGAATGGAAGCTAAAACAGCAAAAATGGCAATATTTTTTGTACCGTAGAGTGTTAGTTAGTCTCACTTGGATAAAGTTTTTTTCACCCTCATTTTCTTTATCCAAACAAGGAGAGGATAGCTATATCCTTCCCTCTCCCTCCTCCACTTCCAACAAACAAAACGGGGTTTAGTCTAGATGGTCAATCATAGTCTCTGTCTGTAGGTTTCTTTCTTTTAAATAATGTCAAATATATGGCTAATATGCAAAATATTGGAAAAATATGACTTTACTGCATACTAAGAAGCTGTTCTCTTCGTCTGATCTGAATGTTTCTGATCTGAATTTTTTAAGTTCTGATCTGATCTGATCTGAATTTTTCTGATCTGATCTGATCTGAATCTGTCTGATCTGATCTGATCTGAATCTTTCTGATCTGATCTGAATGTTTCTGATCTGGTCTGATCTGATCTGAATCTTTCTGATCTGATCTGATTCGAATATTTCTATGATTATAATTATAATTATAATTATAATTATAATTATAATTATAATTATAATTATAATTTTATTTAAATTATATTTGTAATTGCAATTATAATAATTATAATTATAATTATAATTATAATTATAATTATAATTATAATTATAATTATAATTATAATTATAATTATAATTATAATTATAATTATAATTATAATTATTATAATTGCAATTACAAATATAATTTAAATAAAATTATAATTATAATTGTAATTATAATTACAATATTTATCTCTATAATTGTAACTATAGTTATCAATATTATTATAATTACTCCGTAAAATAATTACAATAGTAATCATAATAATAATAATATTAATAATTATAATAAAAATAATAATTATAATCATAAATTATAATTATAATATAATTATAAGTATAATTATAACTATTATAATTATAATTAATAATAATTATAATTATATTAACATTAATTATAATATTATAATTTAATAATAGTAATATAAATACAATTAATATTATTATAACGATATTATTATATTAATATTATTATTACAATAATATAATAATAATATGATTATTATTATTATAATTAGTATTATATTATTATAATGTTATCTTATAATTATAATTATAATCATAATTATAATTATGATTGTAATTATAATTATAATTATTATAATTATAATTAATTACAATTATATTTATAATTAATTATAGATATAATTATAATAATTACGATTCATTATACTTATAATTATAAGAATTATAATTGTAATTATAATTATAATTACATATAATTATAATATAATATTATAATAATATTAATCATATTATTATTATTATTATTATATTGTAATAATAATAATAATAGTCTTCTTAACAATTGCATTTATATTACTATTATTATATTAAAATATTATAACTATTATTAATATCTTTTTTATCATATTATTATTGATATTATTAATAATAATGATATAATTATAATCATAATAGTAATAACAATATTAATAATAATAATTAATATTTAATATAATAATAAAAATGATAAATCATGTTTGAACTTTTCTGATCTGATCTGATTTGAATGTTTCTGATCTGGTCTGATCTGATCCGAATCTTCCTGATCTGATCTGAATCTTTCTGATCTGATCTGATCTGAATCTTTCTGATCTGATCTGATCTGATCTGAATTTTTCTGATCTGATCTGATCTGATCTGAATTTTTCTGATCTGATCTGATATGAATAAAATAAGAATAAGCAATAAGTAATAAGAATAAGACGAGCAGAACAGCACCTAACTATAGTGCTCTTTTCACACAGTAATTCCATGATATTCAGTTTTACTCAGACTGGGGTCGTATTTTTGCAGTGACTAGTGACTTTGTTCTTACAATATCATAGGAAAATCTGTGTTTTTGTTATTCTTTTTATACAGCAGAACAGATGTTATTTTATATTTTTATTGTTAAGCTTGGGGTATTTTTTCTTTTGCTCAGAGGATAACAAATCACGTGATGGTGTCTCAAGTTTCACATTCTTAAGTAGCTTTCAAAGGAACTTGGTTTCTGACGGGTTGAAGAACCAGATCGGGTGGGGACACGTATGGAACAGATTTGCAGGACCGTTGAGTTGCCAGGGTCAGTCGAACCAATGCGCCTACACACCGATCCTCCCCCCTGCATGGTGGGATGGCATATGGCAGTCTCCCCTTCCACGGGATATCCGCAGAATGGAAGCCTATGGCGTTAGGCTTTCTGGGTTTGGGACTTTTGATGTTGATCAACTTCGAACCTTATGTGATTCCAGAAAAAAATGGGTTGTAACTGTCAATCTAATTTAAGTGCCACTAGGGTAAGGATTATTTGGCTTAAATGGATGAATCAGTCAGGTTTCTTAAAAATGAAAAGCCTTGGGTAAAATCGTTTTTCAGGCAAATAAGCAAGCTGGAGGCTATTTATTAGAATTAGCCAATTAGTGCTACCACACGGGGCTAGTTTTTATGTAGAATCTCTTGTAGAAGTTAGTATGTAATATGTATTTATTTTTGTAACTAGATGGAGACAGGGTACAAGCATGGAGTTACATAGGCAACTAGGCAAGCATGGGGTGCCCGGTGCCCTGCCTATATGTAAGGAATAGATCATTTGATTCATCTATTTAGCATTAAGTTGCGGACCCATTCTGAAAGATGTCAATTATCATATTGAGTTTAAACAAAATTTCAGTTTTGTAATTATTTTAGATTTTTAGTTACCTTTATGGTTTAAGAGTGTTCATCTGTTACAACTTACAAGCAAATTTAAAGACAAAATTGCTCGATAGCACTACCAGTTTTTCATATTTTAATTATATCTGCAAAATTGTTCTAATGGTTTCGAGGAAGAAGAAAAGTTAAAGGAGAGCACTGTCTCTTGTTTGTGGCTTGCCTTTTTTAATACTGGGATTAATTAAAACTGGTGGTCTGGGATCTGATATTGATCATCATCTACCAGACTTTTTAGTTTATTTTGTGTTAATAAACCAAAACATGGTACTCAAACGGGCGAGTCTGGGCCTATTTCAGAGGAATTAAAACCATATTTTTTTGCAAAGATTAGATATGATTTTAAAAGATATTTTTGATTCACGAACTGCTATACCATTTGGTTGTTAGTAAACAGAACTGTCCCGATCAAAAACAGAGCCCCCACCTTAACCCTTAATTCCAACCTCATAGGTTATGCTCACGAACAATTGACATCAGACGCAGCAACCATAGACAAACCAGAACCAAAACCATCTGGTTCCCAGTTCTGTTTTCAATTTTTTGGGACAATTGAACCGGAGTCAAAACCGTCCAATTCTAGATTCCGCTCAAATATTTTGGGACAACCCAACTGGACTAGTGAATCTACAATTCCAAATCAGAGATAATGCAGTTTCCAATTCATAAATCAGCAGTTCCAGTTTTACCAGAAACCACAAACCGGTTGACCTACCACTATTGGTGTCCCATACCCACAACAACCCCGTCAAAACAGACTACCTCTTTCAACTGTGAAAGAGTAAATTCAAAAAGTATCCACATAGTTGGAAATAGGACACTCCCCCAACTAAACAAGCACCACAACCTCATCCCGACAGCAATGTTTTTCCAAGGTTGAAGTGATGAGCACGGGTTTTTACTATTTGGGGAAAGATACACATTAGCAACACCAATAATATATTTTTATTATAAATTGGATTGAAGACTGCCTCATGACCAAGATATATTTGGCTCAAAGAACACTCTTCATCTAAAACTACAAAGGCCAAATGGCAAAGAAGACAAAGGTGCTCATCTTCTAAAACTACAACTACATTGTCCACACAAACCCTGGTGCGTCTTTCCTCGGCCCAGCCAACGTCCGATACAAATACATCTTATCTACTCTCTTTCCCCCATCATCATCACCCTCTGCCATCTCATCCTCAGCCCCATTGATGATTTCCACATTCAGTCTTGGCATCTTCTTGGCCAGAACCTTGCAAGCCCCAAGGGTTACCTCACAGGACGACATCCAGAGTGATCGCATTGTTTCATACTTCCCCATGTCTGTCAGAAGTGCATTGTCACCAAACGGGCAGTCCCTGATCTCAAGCTTCTTCAGCTTCTTGCATCCGTTCAGAACATACAGCATCCCCTTGTCACTCTTACCTGCAAAGGCAACAGACAGCATTTCCAGCTGCTCCGCATACATCCCTATGTACAGGAAAACCAGATCGGTGAGAAGCCCGGAGACCGATAACCGCTTAAGCCCTCTGCAGGACTTTACAATCGCCCCAAAACCTTCGTCGAAAGGCTTCTTCGTCACCGCGTCGGGTACCATCGGGTTCAGGGTGCATAGCCTGAAGCGGGTGAAGTTTGGGCAGTTCTTGGCAACCGCTACCAATGCCGCGTTTGTCATCTGCCAGCAGAAGTAGAGCAAAGAGCTGAGTTTGGGACAGCCAGCAGATATCGCAACCAAACCTTCCTCTGTTACACTGTTGTAGCCCACCTGGAATTCCTGGGATGGGAATACCCTCAATTCTTGTAGCTCTTTGCAATTTGATGCTACAACGGCAAGTCCTCTGTCTCCAATGGTGTCCAGAACCTATAGAATCATTTTTGTGCAGTTCAGGTAAATATTTATTCAAGCAGATAGTTCTTACTTTATAGAGTTGATAATGCCCAATGCAATCCCTCGACCACTCTCACTTTTGCTCAATTTCGTCCTTGATTGTGCAACTTAGAATCCATTTAGGGAGTGTTTGTGATTGTTTTTACTTTAAAAACTGATTTTTTGAAGTGGTTTTTGAGAAAGTTCTTAATGGTAAATATTGATAGTGTTTGAGAGAAAAAAATGGTAAAAAAAACATTTTGTATAGTGGAAAAAGTGAAAAGCAGTTCAAAGCATCACTCCAACTTGACTCTAAAGAAAACTAACTCACTTGAAAACACCAATTCAGCTTTTTAAAAGCAAAATCTGAAAAAAACTGTTTCTAAGTTTTTGCAAACACCCCTTAGTCTCTTGTACTTCAAACATGTTTTTCCCCTAATGAAGAACTATATTTCCCAGAGGACTAAATTTGGTCCAAACCTCATATTTCAGGAACAAAATTCAGTCCCTAAATCTTAGCAATTGCAAATAAATGACAAAAATACCCTTATCATCAGCATCCAAATATGTATGCTGACTAAATGGGTCCAAATTTTTTAACATAAAACCAAGTTTAATCCAAATGTAGTTGATGGCCAAATCAAGTGTATGGTCGAGGGACATGATAAGGTATTATCTCTGTTTTAGGAGTAGAAGCAATTCTTTGATTAAAAAGGGACGAATATGAAGCAGACCCATAATCGCTGCAGTTTCCTACAATGTTGAAGCAGCTTCATAAGTTCAATACAGTAAATTCCTGGAGCATAGCTCAAGTTCAAAGATGTCAAATTTGCACACATAGGGTAAACAGAAGGTAAGCAGAAAGAAGAAACCTCCAAAAAACCAGACAAACTCCTTATTGAGGAGCGCTTCAAAGCAATTTTCAGTTTCTTGTACACCTCTGTGTTCGGGTCACAAACAAAAGACCCAGTCCCTAAGTCTGTCAACTGAGGAGACTGTAATAGAATCCTCTGAAGAGCATCAAGAGGCACCGCACGGTTTACCCTTAGACTTCTGAGGTTCTTACACCTACCCACTAGTCTCTCAAGTGCTGCCAGATTAACTTCCCCTTTTAAGCATGCAAAGTTTAAAGAGACAAGTGATGTACAGCTCTCTGGGAAACAACTAAGCCACTGCCCTCTATGATCTTCAACATCGTTTTCCTGCAAGTCCAATTCTCTCAGATGCCTGGAAATCAAATGCCAATACATCACTCAGTATGCAAGGCTCGTCATCAATCTTAATGACATGATATTTAACCTGACTGAAGGTAGCTCACATGAGAAGCACCTTAAAAGGTTTATGCAACTGAACCACCAAAAAATTGTTGGCGCGATAAGGTAGCAAGAGGTCAATTAGAATCAGCAAACAGCTAACAAACTGGATGTCTACTTAAGAAAATAGTCTTTCTTTGGACAAGGTACAGCCTTTTTATTTTGGCAATGCGCAACAATTAGATGCTTGGAACACTGCATAAGACTATAAGAGTACAACTTCTTAAAAAGGAAAAAATAGTTCTTTAAACCAAATTTATCATTTTCAACCTGTGTGTAACTCTTTCAGCAAACTACATGACTTACCTTCTTTTGACATACAGAAAGAGCTACTTGAAAAGTGATTTTTTAAAGGAGCCATATAAAGTAGCATTTCCAAAATAAACAGGCCAAACAAAATAAAGGACTAGAACAATGCTTGAGAAAGCAAAAGGAATGGTATGGTATGGTATGTACACTACTCCTGTTCTAAAACAGTAAAACCCTCCACTTGATTGGAATTAGTTTTCCACCAACCAAGCCAGGAGCGACCATAGCAGGTACACTACCTGCAATTGGAGGCAATGGCAGCAAGACCATCTGTAGTGAAACCTTCACAGCTAACAAGGACCAAAGACTTAAAATTGGGGAAAGATCTGGAAAGGAAGTCAAGGGCATCATCAGAAACCACCATTCTCTTCAACCGAAGCTCTTCCAGATTCACAGATGCATCCGAGAGAGCCTCAATCCATGGGTAAACATAGCCACCCCACTCATGAGGAACCAAACCAAAGTCAGCAAAGTGGGGCTTTCCCTTTAGGGTTAGAGACCTCATCCTAGAAAACCTGGATATCACCCTCTCCGGACTGATAGCATAGCAATTCCCTACGAACACTTTCTCCCTGCTAAACTTCTCTAGCATGTACCAAGACCGGCACACCATGGAAACCGCATTCCGGTCTTTATGCGACGTCAGGAAATCGAATATGAGCTCCAGCACCTCGTCCGGAAAGTAAATCATCATACACTGATTATCATACAAACACATCGAACACTTTCCCCCAAATCCTCCAACCCTTAACTACGACAAATATATAGTAGACCCAGCTAGATCTGAGATGGAGATAGAAAAGAAAACAGCAGATCAAGAATCACAAAGATCTGGAAATTGAACCAGTCTACAGTAACATTGAGAGAAGGAGAGAGAGGAAAGAATTTACTTTTCGTGATAAGATTTCAATTTCTGAAGGAGGAAAGACTAGTTGAGAAGAGATCATCATCACCATCATCATCAAAACCCGGAAAATAACAAAGTGGGTGATGATTACAAAACGGAGGGGAATCAGAGATCTGGTTAAAGAAACCAACAAAAGCTATCCGTATTCAAAGATAAAACAAAAAAAACATCAATATATACAGGAAAGGAAAGAAGGTGCAAAATTATGAGAGGAGGGCGATCCGTATTTAACACTCATCACTTCTCAGACACATAAATTAAAGTCTCTTCACTCACTCTCTCTGATCTCAGCGTGCTCAGAGAGACAAGTGACTGGAAAAGTGACGAAGAAAGGAAAGAAAAGGAAAAGGGGTCTCTCTGAGCGTTCACGGCGGTGGTGGTGGTTACGAGACGTCTTAGTCAAGGGGGAAATGATATCTGACGGTTGGTGTAACTTGTGAGAGCGGAAAGGAATCTTGACCGTCGAGGTGCACATCATGGGAGTTCATTTTACCAAATTGACATCCCAAGCCTCTCAAATTACAAATATGCTGATTAGCAGGTTGGGTTATCAGTTATCACAAATTTAGAGCATTTTTTAAATATTTTACGTCCGTTTCAATTTGATTTGTAAATTTGACTTTTTTGGGTTGAACAGTTTCATTTTAATTATTTAAATTGGATATCAATTTTTAATTGTATTCTAATTTATAGTTTACAACTTTGAAAAGATTTTAATGTAATTTCTGAATAAATTAATTTTAATTATTAAAAATTGAATTAATTATCAATATGGAGCATTGATTTTTTTATTGGTTGACAAAAAAATGTTAACTTTACAAAACAATTCGGGACATAAGAAGTAAATGAATTAGTCATCTTCTAAATATTCGTGATGATGAGTTACTATCATCATTATCTAAATAATTATGAAATCATGACTATGTTTTCAAGATGATAAGTGTGTGACTCATAATCATTTCTCGATTCAATTGACTTCACACTTTCTCCTATAAACATGAGTCTTTCTCATTGTAATGAACACACCTCTAATACACCCTCAAGAACATTTTTATACTTAATAGAAACTCTTTACCTAAATTTCATAACACGAATTTACTCTAAATTCTTGAAATATCATCTTCCCAACGTATATGGAGTCAATTGAAATTCCTTCAAGTGGATTTGAGCGATGTTTAATAGACAGTGCCACAATGCACATCATTTTGAGAAATATAGATTATTTTTCTCATATGACATTAGTATAAATTAGTTTAAAATTTTAAACTAAGGTTAATACAATCTAAGGTCTTACTAAACTCATTGAAGAGTTTGAAACTTTGAATGACTTGTGTGATTCTCTCAAAAGGGGCAAAATTAATAATTAAAAACGTTATATACTCCAGTAAATCACCGAGAAATCTTTTGAGGTTTAAACATTTGCGTCTAAACAAAAACGATTTTAAGGGATCAATCTACTTCAGAGATGCTGGCTAGACTATAACCTCTGTCGATTTGTACATCGGAGGAGGTGAATCGACGAAAAACCTCTTTCTCAAATAAGAAGAATAAGGCTCTAGGATTCCATTAGGACTGTTATGATTTGCGTTTATTCTTTCCCTTGGACGGACGCTATCTCTAATTGTTCCCTTTGCCTACTTGGGCCATCCCCTTGTTTTTTTTTGCGTTATTGCTTGGGCAGGCTACCATACAGCCCATCAATAGTGCACTCTGTAACGCTTATTCTTATATTTAAATAAAATATAGCACGCTTTCTCTGCTAAAAGACATTTGCGTCTAAATGGTTGTCACATTGAACCCATGTCTGAAAATCAAAATGAATATTAATCTCTAGCGACAAATAGATATGGCAATAAGTACATTTGTGAAAAAATGTCAGCATATTCCTTCGGACTATATTATACATATATCAGTCCAATTGAATAAATGTGGTACACTATCTAATACTATCCTCCGTTCTCTTTTAATCGCAACATTGGACTTTTTGCACTATTCACATATTCTACTTTGACTATTTTTTATTCATTAATGTATTATAAATTAATTTTTAAAAAAATATTATTAAATTCTTCTGATTCTAAATTTTCAAAATATGAATTTTTTGAATTTTTTACTAATAAGGAATAAAAGATATTAATGGTCAAACTTGTGCGTTGGCAAACGTGAAAGGTTGACTGTTGCAATTAAAAGGGAACGGAGGAAGTATTGATGACCACAATTTCTTTATCTTGTGGTATGATCGTTTAGATCATCCAGGCATCATTATGATGCACAAAATTGTTAAAAATTAAATAATGTGAAGATTCCACAATCAAGTGATTTTCTATGCACTGTCTGTTCTCTTGACAAATTAATTATCAAGTCATCTTTATATAAAAACTGGAGTTGAATATCCTGCATTATTAAAAAAATCAAGGAGATATTTGTGTGTCTACGGCCCCTCCATGTGGACCTTTTCAATATTTATGGTGCCCATTGATGCATCAACACGTTGGTCACACATTAGTCTTTTATCGACTAGAAATTTTGCATTCGCAAATCTTCTTACTCAAATTATTCGTTTGAGGTCACAATTTTCGAATTATTCGATAAACAAAACCCGACTTGATAATGCGGGAGAATTTACATTTCAACCTTTCAATGACTATTGCATGTCAATTGAGATTGATGTGGAACATTCAGTTCCACATATGCATACACGAAATGAACTTGTTGAATCCTTAACTAAATGATTACAATTAATTGTTAGGTCATTATTGATGAAGTCCAGATTACCATCATATGCATGGAGATATGCTATATTGCATTATGCAAATTTAATTAGGTTTAGGCCAACTGGATATCATAAATATTCCTCATTTCAATTAGTATTTGGTAAAGAACCAAATATATCACAAATAAAAATATTTAATTGTGATGTGTATGTACCGATTTCCACCTTATCATACTAAAATGGGTCTACAAAGAAGGCTGAGAATTTATGTTGGATTTAAATCTCCCTCAATTATAAACTATCTAGAACATATGACTGGTGTTTTATTCACTGCACAGTTAGATTATTGTCATTTTAATGAGACAGTATTCCTAGCCTTAGGAGAAGATAATAGAGAAGTGGATCCATGTACGAAAGATATTTATCACGCCCCGGACCTGCCCGGACACGTCAACAACCCGCCGTACAATACGAATAGTCAACCACAGTCAAGCACATCCATATTATACAAGGCGTCTCGAATATCGTTCACACGTAAGCCATCCATAAACAACATAATAAGCAATCGAATACGTAGCGGAAAACATAGTTTGAAAACAAATGCCACACGTGGCAAACATGAGCACGCAGGCTCTATAGTAAAATATTCATGAGCATGTTTATTAATGTTTAAAAACAGAATGGAGGAAGCACGAACCAAGTCTTCCCTCCTAGATGATCTCTCGAGCAACGAGCACAGGAAGCAAGCTCTAGCCTCAACCTGAAAAATGGTGGTGGGACGCCCCCGAAGGGGTCAACACTCTATAGGGCTATAAAGTGCTGGTGTGGATGGCATCTAATAGATATACAACAAGTATTTCAAACACAAGACCCTCAAATAGGGTGATAATATAATCTAGGCCGTAACCCCAAGTTACCCCTTTTTAAAATATACTTACTTTATACATAAAGTCAAGTAGTCGGCCCGTAGGCCCAAGGTTTATTTACCAAACATAGCCCAAACCCTGTGACCCCTAGTCACAACAATACATAGGGTTCAACCCTAACACATATGTTTGCATTCTCGAGTCCAACTCGACTACATCACCATGCACCTTATCTAACACAAGTTAACTACTCCACCGTGCATTTCTTGAGTCCAACTCAACTACATCACCATGCACAACAATCACCCCATCATGTCTACCCAATGCAATTCTATGAGCACGGGCTCAAGTACATCTCCTTACATTGGCATAGACCCCAATTCCTAAGCACTCGTTATGCCTAGAATTGTAATATCAATAATCTATTTTGGGACATCCTTACGGACTGCCCAACCATGGTCTTAGCATCACATTACATCAATTTAGTCACTTACATCACCATCAAGTACATCAATTACAATCAAATCCTTAGATTCAATTCCTTAACAATTACAACAATCATTAACTAGTATTTCAATACTATTAAGATTATTCTTATCCATCATATATTCCATTTGTAAAACCCTACATATTTAGAGATATGTAGCAGCAACTTAATCATCCAATGTAATACATAAATAATCATTTATGTATCTACACAATTCACACATGAGTAAAATGCCTATTTCACACAATAGTTCACTTAACTCCATTTTTATCAATACTTTACCAAATCATTTTCCGTTTCATTCTTTGGAAAATAGATCAATATTCCATCAATAATTTATCATCATAATCCATGGAAAACATGATTTAGGCATTTAGGTAACCTCATGCTTAACCTACAAGTTGTAAGCAACTAGATGTCGATCCTCACCTCAAATGAGCTTTAAAACTTTCCTTCTCAATCCAATGACCAAAGCCTCGGCCAAAGAAGCTTGAGAACTGATTCCTTGCTTAGAAATGAGTGTTAAACAGCCCCCTCAAAGTGCTAGCTCAACCCCTAATCGTTGATACGAAAACAGCCCCTAGAATGGGTGTTTTCCGGCTAACTCGTTTCCTAGTTTTCCAAGATTTGCTCTAGGTTAGTATCTAACCTTTACATCAATAATATAACTTAATAGGGACATATTATACACTTAGAGTAGTGTATAATAGTTCCACCAATCGTTCATATCATTTGGAAAATGAAGGGAAAGGTTTTGGGGTTAAAACTCACTTTAGAAGATTAGATCCGTTT